TGCTGCAATCGGGACGGTTTGCAAAACGCCTGTAGCTCCCGCTTTGTCACCGTCTGAGGTTAGGACTGCACTCGGGAGATAAGCCCAGGCCCCATCCGCCGTCCTGAGTGAGACTGCTGGCCCTGCTGCAATCGGGACGGTTTGCAAAACCCCTGCTGGCGCCAGCTCTGTCACCATCTGAGGTTAGGGCTGCGCCCCAAGATAAAGTCTAGCCCCGCCCACTGGCCCTGCCTTCAAACCTTGCAAGCAACATGGCCAAGAGACAGAGCTCCAGGGCAGCCCACTCAGGGTCTGGAAGCCTTAACCAGACTCAGGGTGAGGACCCCTTCTTCCTGGTCCTCTCTCACCTCCTCCCCTTCATCCCCAGCCTCACCTTTGCACACTGCCCTCAGCACCATCCTTTCCCCTCCCTCTCCATCTACCCTCCTCGATTCCATCTTCCGTCCTCGTCCTCACCCTCCCTCCTCCCTCACCTCCCTCCTGCCTTCTCATCACACTCATTTATTCATTCATTTGCTATAAAAATACTTAATAACCCCTGCTCCAGGCACCTTGCTTGTTATAGGAGCTACAGGATAAGCAAGGAGGACAGTCCCTGCCCTTGCGGGGCTTACAAATTCATGAGGGGGACAGAAAACATACCACCACAAATAGATAGATCATTCTAAATTGCAGGCAGTGCTATGGGGCAGAAGTAAAGAGTGACTGTGACAGATATTAATAAGGGAACCTGATTTAAATGTGAGGGTCAGGAAAGGCTCTTTGAGGAAGTAACATGTAAGCAGATGTCTCAAAGGTGAGTAGGAGTCAGTCTGGCAGAAAGTGGGGCTTCCCAGCAGAGACAGCAGCTCTGCCTAGGCCCCAAGCAGGTCCTTCCCGGCCATTGACAGAGGCTGGGGTTGAGGGCAGACTAGACTGAGGGGGAGAGGTGAGGTCAGAGAGGGGCTGAGGCCAGATCTCGCTCAAAGGGATGCAGAGCATCAGAGGGAGGAAACACCTTCCAAAGGAAGAAGACATTTCCTCTCTCCTAAGGTGAAAGAGAAGAGATGCAGCAGACGCAGATACAAACAGGTCTGTAGCCCGCTGAGGCTGTTCCCGTCTCATGGCTTCTATTTTTACCATGAAAGAAGAGGTGGCTGCAAGTGACTGAGCAGGAAGCTCTGAGAAAGGCTTAAAGGTGTAAAATCCCAGCTTCTGAGAGTGGAATCGGGAGCTGAGATTTCTGGCTTGGAAGCGGCCAGTCGAAGTCTAAGATGACAATTTTAGGCGACAACAGTCTGTCCTCTGGAGGGACTTCCTTCAGTGGTCCTTAGCTGCTCGGGAGCTAGTATGGACAAGACAGATGTTGGGTTCATCTGGGCATGGGGCTCACCCAGGGAGGCAGGATGGATGGGACAGACAGGGAAGGGGAGGGATTTCGTGGTGAACCTGGAACTTAGGGCGGATAAGGAGAGGTGAAGAGACAGGAAGGGCCAGTGGTTCTTCAATGAGCTTGTAGAACAGCAGCAGTGAGCCGGCTTGAGCAAACAAACCATAAGGAAAGGAGATCATATCAGAGAGTGGGATGTTTGATTCAGTTATTTCATAGTTACTGCAGTTTCTGGTGATGATAAGGCCTGGGTCTGACCCTGGGGCTGGCCTGCTAAGGTGGATGAGAAGCATGTAAGAGATGAGAGGGTGAAGGAACTGAGAAGTGGCCACGCTGGGTGGAGTATCCATATGGATGATGATACCACCCGGATGACTGCCTTGCTCAGCCCCATCCTCTGTCCAAAACCCCTGTCTCACATCCCACATCCTCTCATTCACTCCACCCCCCCATTAACATCCTCTTCCCTAATCCCTAGTTTCCTACCTCCACATCCTCTTTCTCATCTCCATCCTCATCCTCTCAAACCCCAGCATCTCTTAACACCTTCATCCTCTCCTTACCCCATTCTCGCTCTTCATCCTCATCTTTCTCATCCTGTTCCCCTCAGCACTTTATTTCTCCTCCACACCAGGCACTTGAAAAGCACTATTGCACGGTGGGTTAAAGCCTGTGCCCAGGAGCCTATCGACGTGGGCTCAAATCCCACGTATACTGCCTGCCCACGTTGCCTCGCTTGTAAAAATGGGCTAATAATAACACCTACCTCATAAGGTTGTCAAAAGAATTACCTGAGTCTAAAGTGCTTGGAACAATGCCTGGGCTCGATACCATCATTGTTATCCTCCCCCTCTCCTTGCCTCATTGCACCCTTCTCCATCTTCTCACTTCCGTTATCCCTCTGTACCTACTTCATATTTCTTCTGAGAGGCAGAGATGAATCAGACTCAGCCCCTGCCCATGGTCTGGTAGGGAAACAAGCACAAAAATAAATGTCAGGGACTTCCCTGGTGGCGTAGTGGTTAAGAATCCACCTCCCGGGCTTCCCTGGTGGTGCAGTGGTTGAGAGTCCGCCTGCCGATGCAGGGGACATGGGTTCATGCCCCGGTCCAGGAAGATCCCACATGCCGCAGAGCGGCTAGGTCCGTGAGCCATGGCCACTGAGCCTGTGCGTCCGGAGCCTGTGCTCCGCAACGGAAGAGGCCACAACAGTGAGAGGCCCACGTACCACAAAAAAAAAAAAAAAAAAAAAAGAATCCACCTCCCAATGCAGGGGACACGGGCTCGAGTCCTGGTCCAGGAAGATCCCACATGCCGCAGAGCAACTAAGCCCATGCGCCACAACTACTGAGCCTGCGCTCTAGAGCCTGTGAGCCACAACTACTGAGCCCACGTGCGGCAACTACTGCAGTCTGCGTGCCTAGAGCCTGTGCTCCGCAACAAGAGAAGCCACAGCAATGAGAAGCCCACGCACCGCAAGGAAGAGTAGCCCCCACTCGCTGCAACTAGAGAAAGCCCGCTCGCAGCAACGAAGACCCAACACAACCAAAAATCAAATAAATCAAGTTATTTTAAAAAAATGTCAGGAGAATGTAATAAGTGCCACTTCAAAGATGTGAAAGAAATGCTCTAGGAGATCAGAGGATATGCAAACTCTGCCTGGGGGGAGTAAAGAAAAGTCTCAACAGGCAGATAAACCTCTCAGCTGGATCTCGAAAGATGAGGAAGGATTTGCCTGGCAAAGGCAGGAAAGAGGTATTCCAGCCAAAGGAACACGAGGTGTTTCTTGTGCTGCTTCTGCTAGAAGGTCTGAAGTTCTGCAAGCTGGTGTGAAGTTAGGATGAACCCCTACCCCGGCAGGGGCACGCCCTATCCCAGTAAGGCCACAAGGGGGCAGCGAAGCATTAAGAGAGGTGGAGGATGGGGCCCAGAAAACCTAAAGAGAGCCTCACAGACCTCCAGTCCCTTGGGCAAGCCCTGACCGGGAGGGTTTTCCCCAGACTGGGCCGGCCCAGCCAGGAAAAAAAAAAAAAGACTGACACTTGGAGAAAAAGACTGGGTTTGTCTTAGTAAAAGAATAAATTCCTCTTAGTATGTCCTCTAACACATGTTGGTAAGAGCAGAATAATTCCTCACCGAGTTGAAAGTGTCTGTGGAATACATCCTCTTGACTTAGTATTTACCATGGTCTAGACACTGTTCTTGGCACTTTACAAATCTTCACTTTCTCGTAACAACCCTATCAGGTGAAGTACAGTCACCCCCCTTTTGCAAGTGGGAACACTGAGGCATTGGGCCCAAGTTACACTGATACAAAGTAGCAGAGTTGGTTTGGCTCCAGAGTTTGGAGGCCTCCCTTGCAAGGGGTAGCTCCAGCCACAGCCCTAGTGTGTAAAAGCATAAAACCCGGCCCTCCCAACGCCCCCCGCCCCCTGGAAGTCAGTAGTCCTCTAAACTCTAGTCCTTGTCCATCACTAACGAGCTCTGTTCCCTTACGTCACTTCACCCCCGACCGGCATCTTCAAAAGCTAAATCATGGGGTTAAGCTCTGTTCCTTCACCCACAAACTGGTGAGTAGGCCCTCTGGGCTGTGCTGAGTGCCGTGGATACCAAGATGGGTGGGAAACAGGCTTGAGGGACTGTGGGATGTGGAGGGGGAGCCTCGGAGCTACAGTTACAGCAGAGGGTGACAAGCTAGGAGGCAGGGCAGAGGCCCCTCCCGCCTCTGGCCGGTGTGGAATTTGGGCAGGAGGTGTTAAGAAAGGCTTCCCAGAGTAATTACAGGGAAGGTAGGAATTATCCAGACAGGCAGGGAAGGAGGGTATCCAGGCAGGGGAAAGAGGATGCGAAAGCACAGCATGAGCAGAGAAAGCAAAGGGTGTCCTAAGAGCTTGGTCAGAACATCGTTGAACATCTATTAATGTCAATTTTCAGAGTTTACTTCTCCTCCTGACGTGCCAATAAGCAGCTTCTGCAAAGCCTCACAGAATGTGCTAACACAAGAGCCTCTCACAGGAGGTGGTAGCCAAGCCACACGTGTTTAAATGGTGAGCGCCTAAGTGCCCTACACAGGTGGAAGAGATGCCTAAAAGCCTTGCAGTTTGGAGTTCACCCAGTTCTGACATGGGGGCTAGTGGAGTGCAAAAGCCTTGTTTGTCCACCTCCAATGAGATAGGCAGGCATCTGTGAAACAAAGAATGCCCCCCACACACACCATTATGTTAACCCCAGTTTTTTAGTTCTGAGAAGGTTCCAAGGTTGTCCACTCAGAATGGCAGAAGAATCAGGCTGAGACGGAAGAGGGATAGGAGAGTTCCTTCATGGATGAGGCAGGCTTCTCTTTGGAAAGGTCAGTTGAGGCCTCAGGAATGAATACTGCCCCCCTCCAGCTCTCTACTTCTGGCACCCCAGGGAGGAGAGGTGGGGGGCTGCAGCTTTGGCCCTTGTAGTAGTTCACATCGGACCTCTTGGCAGGAGCTATAGATTTACTCAACAACACTCAAATATTGACAAAATAACGCAAGCATGGTGGAGGAGCTTTGGAGAGAGATGGTCAAGAGAGGAAAGCCAGAAATAAGTAAGGCGGGGAAAAAGGGAATAGAAGGCTGGATCCAGGGCAGCCTATGGAAAGATGTTTGCAAGACGTTGCTGCTGCAGCTGCTCCCCCTGGGGGGCTGCCACAAGCAGGTGTCTACACGACAAGACACACGTTTGAGCTTTCTCAGGCCCTGTTTCTCCCAACTTCCCCCAAATTTCCGTTCTTCCTCCCTCACCCTCCCTGGCTCCCAGGATCCTCAACCCCTCCAAATCCAAACCTGCCATAGCAGAGATCCTATACCAGAGGGAGCTTGGGGTCCTGAGGGAGGCAGGGTGAGAGGGGGATCCCAAGACCTGGCGGCAGGGAGAGAGGCTGCTCAGCGGCTCCAGGGTGTCCTAGCAGGTGAGTGGGAGAGCAGAGGGCTCCGGAGGACTGAGGGGCAGTGAGGGCTAGTGCAGCAAGACCACACAGAAAAGAAACTGACGTCTAGGATGTTGACGTGAAACTGACCTCTCGTCTTGTTAAGCCCCTTCAAGGCAAGGACCCCTGCTTCTGCGTCGAGACCCTGCACAGTACTGCCATGCTGTCTGAGGAGACCCAGACACCCCAAACTACCACAGGTGAGTTCATGTCATTGAGAGTGTATACAATACCTCTTCAGGGATACCCAGAAATGTCTCCAGCTCACCTACAGGTATTCATTCTTGCCAGGTGCAGCCTCTTGAAACCAGGATACCAAGGACAGAGTTGCTTGGGGGCCAAGGTGAGAATGACTTAGCAGATTTGGGTATCTGAAGATCTCTAGCTTGCCTAGATCTCTACAAGACCACCAGCATCAGAATGACTTAAGGTGCTTCTTAACAGTGCGGATCCCTGAGCCCCCTCTCCCCCTGACAATTTATTAAATCAGAGACTGGAGGAGAGCAGGGGAGAAGACTCCCTATTCTAACCGTCCACTAAGCCAGATGTGACATTTCACTCGCTGTCACATCCCTGATGCCCATCTCCGTGGTTATGCCTTGTGGCCAGAGCAGGAACCCTCACAGCTAATCCAGCCAGGTGGGTCTGGGGTCCAAAACACTGATTTTCTCCTGTATGTGTGGGTTGCCCACACTTCCAAGTGCCACCAAGAGGTGAGGTTCAAATCAAATTCCTTTGCCCGGCTCTGCTTCTCAATCTTAAATGTCATGGGAAAGGGTAGGGAGCATACAAGCAGTTTTTATTAAATTGGACTTCCCTGGTGGCGCAGTGGTTAAGAAACCACCTGCCAACGCAGGGGACACAGGTTTGATCCCTGGTCCGGGAAGATCCCACATGCCGCGGAGCAACTCAGCCCGTGTGCCACAACTACTGAGCCTGCTCTCTAGAGCCCACGAGCCACAACTACTGAGCCCATGCGCCACAACTACTGAAGCCCGCGTGCCTAGAGCCCGTGCTCTGCAGCAAGAGAAGCCACCGCAATAAGAAGCCCACGCGCCGGGACGAAGAGTAGCCCCCCGCTCGCCACAACTAGAGAAAGCCTGCGCAGCAACGAAGACCCAATGCAGCCAAAAATAAAGTTAAATAAATAAAAAAATTTTAAATAGATAAATAAAATCCCACAAGCCGCATGGCACAGCCCCCCCACAAAAATTGCGCTTATGTGGGGTAACTTGGGGCATGCTGATGAAGTTTGGTTGGGGGCTGAAAAACCTCCAAGCCATCCCTTGGTACCACCCCTGCCAAGTTTCCTGGGCCTCCATTTTCAGGAAGACTTCTGCGTTACCCCAGTCCCCTCCTTTCCGCCCTCACCTTGTCCTGGCCCGTCCACAGCCCTCTATCGTAACCTGTGCTGCCTGCTGCCAGCTGGACTCAGAAGACAGGCCCCTTGCTGGTACGATTGTCTTCTGTGCCCATCTCACCAACCCCAGCCTCAGCCACAGTGACATGGTCATGGTGACTGCTGCATGATGAATAGGAAGAAGCAAACAGGTTGGGGAGGGAGCACAGGTCACTCAGCTTCCCATGAAGTGGAAGGACCTCCTCAGGGTGCAATAGAAGGTGCCTCCAGCTCTAAGAAGAGCTGATTGGGCAGAGGGGCGAGAGAGTGCAGTCCGTCCTACTGCGGTCCCCTTCACTCTGCAGTCATTTGTCCTCAGGCCACACTCCATGAACTGCTCCATGCCCTGGGTTTCTCTGGACAGCTCTTTGAGAAATGGCGGGATTGCCCTTCAGGACCCAGAGGTAAATGAGAGGAATGAGGGCAATGTCTCCTCACAACATCAACCAGAGAGAACCACTGTTCTCTCACCAACTCCTTCCTTTCAACTCTTCCTGACCCTTCTGAGGTCTCCCTCTCCTCAGATGCCTTCTTCCCTTTCTACACTCAGCGAGAACTGTTCTACAAGTCAACAAGTGACAAGGCGAGATGAGCGGGGACAGCGGCTTCTCACCACAGCCTGGCCCAGCACTTGGGACTGCTAGGGGTTTCACTGGGCACTCCCTCGGAAGAAGAAGTGACGGTGAGAACAATTTGGGGTGATGGAAGGAAGAGGGGACGGTCAGGTGGCACCAGCTGTCTCCTCCCAAGGGGCCCTTTGTCTTCACACTGGGAGGCCTGACTGCTCCAGAACTGTATAATGACTGCTACGTACGATGGCGCCCAGCACGCTCGGCTTGACCCAATCACTCTCGCTGCCTTCAAAGACTCAGGCTGGTACCAGGTCAACCACAGCACTGCAGAGGAGCTGTTGTGGGGCTGGGGTGAGAAATAAGGGAGAATTGCAGAGGGCACTCATGACCCGAGTCAGCTTGGGGGGAGTGAGAGAGGTTGGAAGGGATTATCTGCTGCTAAAGTGTAATTGAAGCTGTGAGCATGGCTGGCCCTGACGGGTCTGGGGGCTTCATTTCTTCTGAGGGCTCTTCTATCTCTCAATCAGGGTCTGGCCTGGAATTTGGCCTGGTGACCACCTGTGGAAATGGCACCTCAGACTTCTTCTGTACTGGCAAGTGCGTGTGCTGAGGGGCTGCACAGCTGTCAGTGATTCTAGTGTCACTCTACCATCCCCTACACACAGCAGACTGGGCTGCCACTACCTGCACCTGGACAAGGGAAGCTGCTCCTCAGACCTCATGCTGGAAGGCTGATGCAGGTATCAGCTCTTGGCCAATGGGGTGGGTAGACTAGAGAATGGGGAATGAAACCGAGTGGGGCTGGAGAGGAGTCTCCTTCTAAGGCATCTGGACAAACACTATTCTACCTTCTGCCCTGCCCTTCAGAGTGAATGCTGGAGGAAGGAAAATGGATTCCCACCTGGGGCGGAGAATCCCCATGGGGAGATCTACCATCCCCATAGTTGTTGCTTCCTTGCCAACCTCACTTCACAGATGCTTCCTGGGGACAAGATCAGGCATCCCTCTCAGATCCCACACCTCAAGGAAGCAAACCCCCTGGCCTGGCCACTGCTACTTACATCAGTGCACAGAGAGGGGAGTGTACAAGGGCAGGTGGAAGGATCACCCTGGGTCCCACGCCTTCCAGGAAAGGCTATTCAGGTGGGTATCAGAAGTGGAATAGCTGTAGCACACTGGCAGAAAGTTTGGAAGTGCTCTTACGGTAGTACCATCCAATGTGTTTTGATGTTCATTAAATTTTTTATTATTATTGGAGTATGGTTGATTTACAATATTATATTAGTTTCAGATGTACAACATAGTGATTCAATATTTTTATAGATTATACTCCATTTAAAGTTATTATAAAATATGGGCTCTATACCTTGTGCTGTACAATATATCCCTGTAGCTTCTTTATTGATGTTCATTTATTTTTTACTAAGTACCCTACTGAGTCCATGGATCTGATTTAGAATGTACATTTTCCTTAGAAGGAGGGCTTGAGCAGGTGGCTGAGGCTATAACTATACCCTGCTACATATTTCTTTGTAGATACCTGGGAACAATGGCCAGCTCTTATGTCCCTGGGGTTGGCTCTGTTAGACAAATGAAGGTACCGATGCTATCAATATTACTTACCCACCTATAAGTCTTTCAACCTGACCTATTATTTAGCTTCCCCCCCCCCCCGCCCCAGGCCACTCCCTGGGGAAGGAAGAGGGCGAAGAGCTAACTGAAGCAGTTCTACAAGGCTCTGGTGAGCACTGGTGGGTAAATCAATGGTTCAGGCTAAGGGTTTATACAGTGGGCCAAGGAGATTGTTCAAGTCCTTTACTTGATAACCCTCCTCTAAAGACCTTCCGTTCATCCCAGTCCCAAGCCTGCACCTGTTTCATGAGATATACTCTTCCAGGGACTATACTTCCATTAAGAGATCCAAACAAACGTCCATTTGGCGCTATTTCCACAGTCTCTTGATTTCCACCAGTCTGGTCTTCACTGTGCATATGTGGAAATCCCCTGGCTGCCAAGGGCCTTCAGTTGGTATTCTGCACAGGGTCCTGACCCTGACTCTCTGGAAGAAACCTCTAGAAGTATATTATGGAGGAGCCACCTTTACCATAGAATACAGCAAGTAAGATAACATTCCAAGGAGTTTTCTTTCAAATTCCTGGAATCCAGATATTTGAAACTATATTAAGCATTCATACATACACTGTCCTATACAGTTAATATTTCAGAAAACAAGGATCCCTAACATGGTGCCTATCACCATGGGACACCGCTCTTCCCAGCAGTAATAGAGTTCACCTATCTCTAGGACATAGGGCTCCTAGTCCCCTTCTTTTCTTTTTAATGAATTTGTTTTTCTTTTTTGGCCACACCATGCAGCCTGCGAGATCTTAGTTCCCTGACCGTGGATCTAACCTGGGCCCCCTGTAGTGGAAGCACAGAATCCTAACCATTGGACGGCCAGGGAATTCTCCCTTTCTTTTCTTAAGCACTACCCAGGCAACTTGCCTGAACACTATAGTCTTAACTCTTCCCCTAAGCCATTTCCTCCTTCCAACAATTTAAGTTGCTGGCAGTCTTGGATCTTGGTCTTCTTCCTTTCAGGTTCTATATCCCCTTATTGATTTCCCGTTCAGCTTACTGTTTGGATGAAGAATGAGTTCTAGGTGTTAAAATAAAGGTAGGGCACTTCACCTCCTAGGCCTAGGCATTACTCCAGGCCAAATATTACCCCTACATCCCTAGGTTTCTAGTTACTTCAGACCATAATCCTTCCATGACCCACCTCAGTCTGTCCATGGGACTCTGCCTAATGTCACTTACCCTGGTGGCTGCACTGGGAACCATGGCCTATCAGAAACGAGCTACTCTTCAGGTGGGACCTTCTGCCCCTTACCATTCACTAGAGCCCCAAGGTGCAACAGCGGGCCCAGTTGGAGGAATGAGGGAGGTGTGATGTTACCCAGAGCATGACACAGGTTAGGGCAGAGATGATTTCTTAGGAGAAACTGGATGGAAAGTCGATCTATTGTCTATATTTAAGTTCTACTTTTCTCAGAATGCCTCCTTCTGTGTATATCAACATTACACTAGCCTTGCAATGAAAAAAAAGTAAAGACTTATGGTTCTGAAAATCTGTTCTTTATTTTGATACAAAAAATAAACCCTTCAACCTGTAAAGAATGTCACTTGTTTTCATATTGTTGTAAAGCAAACTTATAGAATAGGAACATCTGCTACCAGCTCCAAGGATGTCATATATACTTTAGAAAAAAATCATTGCTACTTGGATTCAAACCAACATCAGTGTGGAGGAAGGAGTAGCTAATTATCTCCACCTCCTGATTTTTCCATAATTTTACTAAATCATCACTAGGAAAGCTAGTAGTTGGGATATCACATAATCATGCCAGAATTTGGTAACAGTGGTGAAAGCAGCCATCTGAATCCAGCTAAATTATAAGAACATGACCTTTTATTGTCCTTCTCTCTTGTTTCTGGAGTAGAAGGGCTCTATTTTATACCCCTATGGGCCGGCAGTAGGCTTGAGTTATAATGTGTAGATTCCTTTCGGTTATAGTTGTAAAAGAAATCTTTAAATTCTTGAGGGTTTGACATCTCTTGGAAGGAAGTAAGCTAGGAGACAGACTGCTGATCTGGATTTGCTTCGATGGAAAACATTTACACTAGGAATCCAGTTGATCGGCTGTTGAAATCACCAGGCCTGTACTGGTCAGCGAGTTCAGTCAGCTGATCGGAACACCATCCCCAGGCCTTTAAGTGATACATTTGAAGTTCTGATAGTAAAGTTGTGGCCTCGGCTCCATTAGCTCTGGTTATCTTCTTTGATTTTAATGCCTATCAGTCTTTACCAGCGGTAGCAGCCACTGCTTGGTAAAACTTTGCCACGAAGTCTGGCTCACTGACCTCCAGCTGCCTGACAAATTCATTGCGCTCCTGCTCAGCCCAGCCTCGAAACCACTGATCCCAAAGACGTAGCTGGCACTCAAAGATACAAGGTGGTCGGTTTGCTCCAGACACGCTAAGCTGCTCCAGACTCTCCAGCAGTGGCTGCAATTTTCCCGGTACTGCCTTAGCTACCAGGTCCTGTAGGAAACGTTCACGCTGAGGACCTGACCAGCTGGCAAACCAGTGAAGAATACACTTCATCTCCTGGGAAGTGATGTAAGACATTGGGGGAGGGGAAGAGTTAGAAATATTGTCTGGTACCGAGGGTAAGGGAGAAGGGAAGGGTAGCGGCATCGAAGAGGAAGATGATCCCAGTGGCATCCTGAAACATAAGAGCACTGTTATATACTCTCTGGATAGAGCAACCAAAATACAGCTTCCCAACAACACAGAATCTTATCACACTCAATCAACGTCTACAAAGAAAATTACTTTTCACCAATTTGGTTTACAGAAAAACAACAGGGTCCTTTATTTAGGTTATTATCCAACTTAGATAAGGTACTCAAGAATAACCTAATTTCATTATTTGCCAACCTTCCTCTCTCGTTTTCAAACCCATTACCCTTCCCAACCACTGCCTCCCTCCATCATTCTTATAAACAATCCAAAAATAACCAAAGCATTCCTTGTTCGTTCTTTACCACCTAATTCTATGTTCCAGATTCAGTAAAGGAAAAAAAACAACGATTAATATTGGTCCAAGACATCTTCCCTAAAATGAAAAAGAGGTACACATTTTTTAATTTACCAAGCAGCTGGTCAGGGCCTAGATGCTAATCATTCCAGAGCTATCAACAGAAGGAAAAAAAAGAAAGGGAAAACATCATATATGACGAAAGAGCCTTCTCCGCAATGTGCATGTAGCCTCTGAAATATGCCAAGAACTTCATAACTCCATTATTTTCTTATATTTCCTGTAAAGCACCAGGAAAAATTAAAGAGCAGAGTTAGTGAAGGCGCCTTGTCCAAAATAAGATAACAAAGTAAGAAAAACAGAAGAAGCCAAGTGTTTATTCAGTACTGAAAAAACAGTCTAATTGGTTTGTTGGCTTAGGGATCTAACAACTGTTATACTGTTGTAGCTGTGTGACAATTCATGTCTGAACAATTTTCCTTCATGTTTAATATAATACCTATTGATGACTTGCCATTGATTCGCATCACTAATGCAACTGGAAGGTCAGCCAACTTGAATAGTTTTCAAATCCCACAGTTTGAATCTCTAACAAGGAAAACAAACTACTTGTTTACGACGTATTTTACTGTTTGTGTTTCTTCTGCTCTAAGTTGGAGTGTTTGTAGTGACAAAGAAAGGAACCCCGAAGCAAATTAACATCAGTTCTGTACCAAAACGGTCCAGCCGAAGGTTGCCTTTTCACAGTGGCCCTACAAGAAGCAATTCCTCCTAAAGGAATTTTATTCTCTTACTCGGAGAAAGGGCTAACTTTTCCCGAGTCTTGCGACATGGCTTCCACGGCAAGCTCAAGTTCAATGACCACGAATTAGTTCACAGGCTGGGTCGAAAGACACGGTGCTGCCACTTGCCACTTCGGAGGCCACGGAGCCTGGCATTCCGTGGTCCCAAAGAGCAACGTAGCCTTAGATGGGAGTGGCGGGGATTCGGAGGATGGGAGGCGGCAGCTGTTTCCGTAGGGGAGCGGGAGGCTTGCCCTACTAAGGGTAGCCCGTAAACACCGACACCGAGTCTGACCCGGCCCAGGGAGGTACTTCTACCCCGCTTACCTCCCCTTTCCTCTCACAGGGCACCCGGAGGCCGTCACAAGAGTGTTTAGACTTCAACTATCGCCGCCGCTTCCAGGTTTCCTAAAAACCCTAACGAGGGCCAGCCGGGAAGCCCACGCACTTCCGGTCCCGGACCAGCCCCAAACACCCAAGCGCCACAGCGTCTCAGCCTTAGGTCCGGAGATAGCCGAATAATTCCGATTATGGTTATGCCAGAGTCGAGAGCTTCCGAACAGATTCGATTCAAAGCCTCGGTAAGACGAAGAGAACCGAGCTCTGAAAGCAGGATGAGGGAGGGGGAGCGACTAGAAGGATGGAAAGAACCAATTGGTGCCGATGTGGAGACGGAAACACCCGAGAATTTCCGGAGGAACCCGGGGAGTTCTGAGTGGTAATCGAGGGGTTGACTATGGAAGTGGGCGGGGCCAACTCGGTACGTTCGAAGGGCGTTGGCGGAAATTACCGAAGATGCCCGAAGCCGTCGGGACGGACCCGAGTACCTCACGCAAGATGGCGGAGCTGGAGGAGGTGACTCTGGACGGGAAGCCTCTTCAGGCGCTGCGGGTGACCGACCTGAAGGCCGCACTGGAGCAGCGAGGCCTAGCCAAGAGCGGGCAGAAGAGTGCCCTGGTCAAGCGGCTCAAAGGGGTGAGTAGACGGCGTTGCCGGGGTGTCGGAGGGGAGCTGACCCGGTAGAGCCGAGTCTCTGCCGCGGCGCAGGCGCAGTGTCCGAGCTCGGCGCGAGCTCGCTCAGGCCGCCAGCGCCAGCCTCCGGATCCGCGCGCACGGTGGTTGGGGAGGCTCGCGCTGGAGTGGAAATAGCGCTGGTTCCCGCCTTAACGGTAGCGGCGCGATCCCAAAATGGGAGGGTGCGCGCTACTCTCCCGGAGTGTCTTAAGCTCCTTCCTCCTCCCCCACCCCCTCCTTGTTTGTGTCTGTGGTTTCGGCGCATGCGCTGCAGAAGGAGTTAAATCCCACTACAACCACCGGCGTTGCTGGCCTGAGGGGGGCGAGATGGGCTAGGTCGGAGTTAGGTGTTTAGTTGGGCAGAGGGGATGAGGGGTTGGTATCGGTATCGCAAAGAATAGAATTGGGGTAGGGCAAAAATGCCTGCTTGATTAGATTAGGAGGTGAGATGAAGAGAAACCTTGATCTGAAGGGACTTGGTTAGGGAGGGGTGTATAATTTATAGGGCGTCCAGAAGCAATTCGGGTGGATAAGAGTTTGGTGATTATTGATGAGAGAGGTGAGGCGGGCTGGTATATGTTGGGGTTTTGAATCGGTTTGAGTAGATTAGGGTGGGATTGTCAAGAGGTAGATGGATGGATTGGTGTGTATAGGTTTGGTGTAAGCGGAGGGATGGTGTGGATTTCTTGGTTTTAATTAGGGTAGGTTAGGATACGTGAAGAGTAACAGATTTGGGCTGGGTTGGCTCAAGGGTTAAGTTGGCAAACCGTTGCTTACATTGAAGCTGACAGTTCCGTGTGTGGAGGGATTGGATCAGGACACAGTTTATAGAGTCTGTGGTCATTTTGTTCTGTAGCCTCCTCTGAAATTTTTATAAATTTGGTAAATCTAGGTGCCACTCTTTTGGAAACGATGCAAGTTCACTCAAGTAGATCTAGTCCTGGGTAACTGACCAAGGAATTCAGTCAGACCAAAACCATGTTGGTTTCATGTATTTGAACCTGGTTTGAATATTTGAAGTGAAGGGCCAGATTTAGAAGGGACACTAGTCAGAAGTGCAGAAGATAATAGGGATTGTAGTACTGGTTCTGTCACTGTCACTGATTTTATTGCATAGCCAGATTTTCCCAATATGCCTGCATTTTACATCTGTACATTTGGGAGCAGTAACCATGGCTACCTTTAAGGGTCTTCTGAAGACGAATGAGGACGGAATTAGTAAAGGGCTTTTAGGTCCCTGGAAGAGGAGTACAGTTTAAGTGTGTACGGTTAGTCATTGCCTTTGATGAAGAGATTGGGGGAGGGTTTTTTTGGTTTTGGTTTTTTTCCTCCTGGTTTCTGACTTTTGCCCTTCTCTATACCAGGCTCTAATGCTAGAAAATTTACAGAAACACTCAACACCCCATGCTGCATTCCAGCCAAATTCCCAGGTAAGAAAGAAGGTTCACTAGAAGGGGGGGCTCTTTGGATGCACGGAGACATGGAAGGACATGATGTTGTATATTTGATGCTTGATTTCTCACCAATATTTTCCTCAGTTCCCTGGGTTGAAAATGTTTTCATACTAGGACAGTTGAATTCTAATAAAGAATTCACGAATCAGAAGAGCTGTTAGTTAATTTCTGATTCTTGAAATGGTGTGTTCAGAAAGATGTGGCTCTAGTTGATTAAGTGGAGTACAAGGATCTGAAGGCGTTTGTTTGACATCAATTTGGAAAAAGTAGTTGATGTCTTTGAATGTAGATATGAGTAGACAATCAACAGGGCAGTATAGGAAAATACTTGCTGATCAAGAAGAATTCTTGTGTTGACATAGATTTTCCAAGAATTCAGTCCTTTGGAAATCATCCACCATTACTAGTTTTAATATTAACTGTGCAGTTACTCCTAAACGTCATTAATTGCTGTTACTTTGGGCAAGAAACTTAACCTTTGGAGGCCTTGGCTTCCTCAGTTTCCCTGTGTGTAAGATGAGAAAGAGTTGGACTAGATCCATAGTTTTATAACTACTCTGTTGGGATCTTCTGGAGCTGCTTTTGGAGGCTTCCTAGAGAAAATTTCTTCCCAAATGAGCAGGGGTTCACATTCGCCTCTTAAACTAGATTAGATCTACTTCTGTCTGCTTTGAATATTGAGTTTCTGCATAAGATTTCTTTGGAAGAAATCATTCCCAGTTTCAAAAAAAAAAGTCTTAGGCTGTGTGGTCTCCTAAGATTCTTTTCAGCTTTTAACATCCCCTCATTATATTGTGTCATGCACTTAAAGGAAAAATCCAGGTCTTTGTTAGTGCAGTGGTGTGCAGCTCCAGTACTAGATGAAGTCCCAAGATACAGTGGAAAAACAAGAGATTCCTACTCCCTTGTTATTAGCTCATGAAGCTGAAAGTATAATCTAAGTAGCTTACAGAGGTTAAGTATTTTAACAAGCATAAGAAACTGCATAAGTTACTCACTTTACCATTCTATTCCTTTTGCTGATTACATTTGCAACTTTGAAGTTTTGCTTTTATTAACATAGGTTTTTTGCAACAAATACATACGTTCTCTAATACTTGCAACCCACGCTTCATCAGTGTCCACTGACTACCAAGAGACTCATCTCTATTTTAGGGGGGAAAAAAAACATTTACCACGCTTAGGAAAGATGACTAATGACATAGAAAGTATTTATTCAGATTTTTTTCCTTTTTCTGGAGTTCTAATAGGACTTGCTAAGCAAGAAGCTTCTCGGGAAGAGGACTTGTGAAGAGAAAGCTGAAGGGCAGAAGAGTGACATGGGAGTCTGTGTTGCAGAAAAAAAATGGGAAAAGGGATTAAGCTCCTGGATTTTAAAAATTGTTACCAAAGATTTCTTCTCACCCAAAGAAAATGGAGTTAGAACTCTGTCTAAATGCTGAATCCCTTTTCTTAGTCTCTTGCTTTCAGGCTTTTAAGTCTAATAGTTGAATTTTGGAGATGTTTAACAAAATGTTTCCTGGATAGGTGGAGGTTGATCTTTTGTGTGAACAAAAGATGAATTAGTATGAACTAGTATTTTTTTCCTTCAGTTTTTGATATTATTAAAAGGAAAATTTAGATTATCTTTATATAATTTAGATTATCTAAAAATTTAGACTAAAAGACATAATTTTATAGGAATTTTTATTTTTTAAAATTATTTGTGTATCATTCTTTGGCTGGGAACTGAATATTTAAAATAAAAAATTATGTGTGCAGTTCCTCTTTGCCATCTTTTGTGAATCGTAGGGCTATATATTTTGGTCCTCAACTTAGGAGTAGCTTAGAAAAGGGCCCTCCAACATTTTCCGTATCTTTCCATGGAATTTTGTACCTCCTGGTTTGTTTTCCTAGACTATCTTTTTCCATGTCTTCTACACAGATTGGCGAGGAAATGAGCCAGAACAGTTTCATAAAGCAGTATCTGGAAAAGCAGCAGGAGCTGCTTAGGCAGCGTCTGGAACGTGAAGCTCGAGAAGCTGCAGAACTTGAAGGTAAGCCCAGACTGTCACTTCTTACAAGGAGTTCTTCCTGCTTATTCCTTTCACTGAGTAGATGGGCCTGTTTCACTAGGCAGTTTCAGGAATATAAGTCAGGCTGAGACTGCCAGTTATTTGCTTTGGTAGTTTATGGAGCCAAGTGAGTTACTATTTACCTTTTGTCAGGGAAGAAGACACTTAATTTGACTGTCTTGACTAGAAGAGGATTCCTGCCAACAGGAAGAGTTATAAGTAAATTAAGCTACCCTTTAGATGAACAAGAGCCTTATCTTAGGGAGTTTTTCTCTATGGACAGTGCTCTTTTTAGTATATACTCTGTATCCGTGACTTTGCCTGACCTCCTTCACTCCTCTACATATTCCCACATGCTGAGCCCTTCACTCCCTCCCTGCCCCGACCCAATCTGTACTTTGCAGAAGCTTCAGCTGAGTCGGAGGACGAGATGATCCATCCCGAGGGAGTGGCTTCCCTGCTGCCTCCTGACTTTCAGAGCAGCCTGGAGAGACCAGAGCTGGAGCTCAGCAGACATTCACCCAGTACGTATCTCCCTCCCCACTGCGCTGTTTTGTCAATCCTGCGTAGTTGGTGGGGGGAGGTAGTTACACCTCCTTTCATGCTAAGCCTCCATTAAAGTCCCAGGGCAATTCTGTGACAGTGTTATTTGACATCTGTTTTTCATGGAAATTATGTCCTTTTCGAAGTCTGCGTTCACCTCTATGTTGTGTTGACCTCTCAGAGTATTTTATGAGGCAGTCTGATTTTTCTTCTCATCTGTATACCTCTCTAACTTTCTCTGCCTCTGAATTTAGCAACAGTCACAACTCTTTTTCATCTCTTCACCAATTGTATATATTGTGTGTTACACATCCAGTCATCCCCCCAAATGGGCATCTGCAGTTTATTAATTCATTCACCAAGTTTTTACAAGTAAAAACTTGCCTGTTGTATGCCAGGCATGTGCTAGGCACCAGGAATATAGTAGAGAAAAAGACAAGTCTCTGTCATAATGAAACATACAGTCTAGTGAGGAGATAGACATTAAACAAATTATTACATAATTAACTGGAGTTATGCTGTGTACTATGAGAGGCAGTGCAGAGTATTATTTGAGCATATTACAGGGAGCTCAAACCCAGTGTGTGGAATTGGTTCAGGTAAGATTAATTTTTTCACATTTAAAAAAATGTTAAGCACCCACTTTTGCATAGTATCTCAAGCAAAAGTCTGTAAATGCAGCCTTTGCCTTCTAGGAACTACCTGTCAAAACAGTGTGCCTTTAGGGGAACATGCGTATAAGACATGTGAATAGTAGGTAGATAAAGTAAACCAGTGTGTAAATTAACAAGTATTTTGAATGATTATTAATGTTAGTGGTCATGGGGAAGGTGATCATTCCATATTTAATACTTTTAGAATGTATAGAAGTTGCTAGCTCTTCTGGTTAATATGGAACTCTTTCCGGAAAGCAGATTTTTAGGAGATATTTAATGATGGGAGAGAAATAATTTCTTTTAGAGATCTCTTTTCTCTTCAAAATAAAAACAGCAAACCACCAATTGATCCATTTTGCTCTTAGCACTCTTTTTTTCCCTGATTGTAAAGCCATGTGGAAGGGGAAAACTCTTTTATAAATTAGTTGTCAGCATCGCTTCTCAAATAAAAATACGCCAAAAAATTACGTATAGAATTCCTGCTGTATACATGTCTCTATGCTAGAGTGTGTGGGGAGTCAGCCCATTGTAAAATCTATTAGGGAGAGAGAAGACAACTGCACATAAAACTAACAATGGAAGATGGTATGTTTTAAGTGACATACAAGTAGTACGGACACACGTACCAGTGGAATTCCAAAGAGTAAAAAATTCTCTGAGGATTAGAGAGATTAGAGAGAGCCTCATGAAGGAGGTGTAGGATTTGAGTGAGCCTTAGAAATACGTAGGATTTGAGTTGGCACAGAGAAGACAATAGGGTATTTTTAGGAAGGAACAAAGGCACAGAGGTAGGAAGGAAGGTGATATTTAATTTTAAAGGTAATGGGGGAACCATTGAAAATTCTTGATAGCAATATGATTTGATAAGGAACTCTTGAAAAAGAGAGAGCCTCTCTCTGTTCTAAATGTAACTTGAAGTGAAAATGAGGAATGTCCTGAAATAGATATAAGGTTTCAAAAGCAAGTAGAGATTTAGAGTGAGGAAGGTGGCCAGTAGTCTCTTAAGTGCTTTGTGTCTTCAGCAGGACTATGCCTATGGCTGTAATTGTTGGAGGAGGGGAAAAAAAACAGGTGAAAGGAAAGAGGTGAAAAAAAAGTAAGAAATGAATGTAGTAAATTGTAGAATACAACAAACAATTGCTGTGTGTCCTCTTTGGTATACTCTATCCATAAACTTTCCTACCTCTGATCTTGGCTAGAATGTGAATTTCATAACAGATGTGGCATAAAATTTGGTCAAGGTCCTAAATGGAGTTGTAGTTTGGAGTTCTAGCAGTGCTTGGTTGGATCGGTAGTAATGCCTGGAGTTTACCCAGAAATTAGATTTTTTTCAGGTGTACAGCGTCAGTCTGCCGTAGGCTCATAAACTATTAGGCTTCCAGCTTATTTGTTAGCTTTGGATGTTTGGGGTTCCTTATTTAATAAGATTTTGATTAAAGTAAGGTTCCTAGTAACATATTTTGATAATCAGTAGTGGCACCTGAGGATTTTTTTTTTTAATAAATTTATTTATTTTGGCTGCGTTGGGTCCTCGTTGCTGGGCGCAGGCGTTCTCTAGTTGCAGCGAGCGGGGGCTACTCTTCGTTGCAGTGCGCAGGCTTCTCGTTGCGGTGGCTTCTCTTGTGGAGCACGGGCTCTAGGCGCGTGGGCTTCAGTAGTTGTGTCTTGCGGGCTCTAGAGCACAGGCTCAGTAGTTGTGGCACGTGGGCTTAGTTGCTCTGCGGCATGTGGGATCTTCCCGGACCAGGGCTCGAACCCATGTCCCCTGCATTGGCAGGTGGATTCTTAACTGCTGCGCCACCAGGGAAGCCCCTGGATGTTATTTTTTTTAAGAATATGAATTCCTGGGCCCTGCCCCAAGAATCTCAAAGAATGTAAGTCCTGAGACCTTACATTTTTAAAAAGTCCCCTGGTAGTTCTGTTGATCAGCTCAGTTTATGAATGACTAAATGAAAGAATAGTTTTTCAGCATTATAGTTAATCAAGATCCTTGGCTTATTATATGCCAGCAACCTCGCATTAATGTGCTGTAGTCACAATCCCAAATAGGAAGGAAAAATTGGTTTATAAAATCCTGCCTGGCTCTCCTTCTTGACTTCATATCTTTCCATCACTTTCTTCAGATTTTTCTAAGATGTTGGGAGTCAGTATTCACCCTCCATAGTCAGAAGTTGCCTCCTAGATCATGACTGGGTATACAACAGTCCTTATTATCTTCAGTTAATTTTTCCAAAAAGAGCCCACTCTAGGAAAATTAGGAGGAAAAATACAAAAACATTTAAAAATGGATATTCAGAATACAGATTGATTAACAAAGGTATAGCCCCAGGGGATCTTAGCCAGCCTTTGGCTTACAGAGCATTTAGCCCTCATTCCTGTTCTTGTGTTAAATCTGGATGCTGAGATTATAAAGAAATGTTAGGTAAGTTACTTATACAGCTAACATGAGTCAGATTTAGGGTTGGCATCATTGCCAGGTCTCCATTCTCTTAATTTCTGCTGCTTTTTCATACCCAAGGATACCCTCTGGCCACAAGCTTTGCTCTGATCTCTGTAGCTACCTAACCTGGATCCTGCAAATCCTGCCCAGGGATTTGTTTTCCAAGATGAAGAAACTACCTTCCTATATGACCCTTAAACATTCTTCAGTTTGTTTTTTTTGTTTGGTTTTTTGTGGGTTTTTTTGCCAAGCTGTGCGGCATCCGGGATCCTCTGATCAGGGATCGAACCTGTGCTCCCTACGTTGGGGGAGCACAGAGTCTTAACCACTGGACCACCAGGGAAGGCCCTATTCTTCACTTTAATACATTCTACACTGCCTTTGCTCTCCTGAAGGCTTCTGGCTTTGGAATCTCAGAAATCTTACATTCACCCTGACTTGCTTTTTAACTCCTGAAATACATTTATTAACCTGTTACCAGTATTCGTACCACTCTTTGCTAAAGGTGCTCAGTTTCTGCACATATTATTAACATCTGGCTGAAGACACTCATGTGGCCATGTTCACATAATAGAAGATGGCACCTTTCCCAGAACCTTGTCTGCATCACATCAGCTCCTTACAAGGAGCTGGAAGAAACTCCTCATCTCTTTCTTATATTTTGTATTGCTTACTAGGCTCTTGTTTTCATGTCTGAGGTTCCCCTCCAGTTGTCATTTTCTTTGCAAAACAGTGATGTCCAGAACTTTCTGACCAGCCCTTCCCATTTTTCCCACATCTCTTTGATGACTTATTAGGCAAGTGCTTCTAGAGGAGGGATCATCTAGAATCCTGTCATTGCAGTTTTACAGTATCAAAATAACATTATGATCTAATAGAATAGCATACAGTTTATAATTGATGGAGATAAAGGCTATTTGCTTGTGCATACCTAATTTTAAAATCACAGCTCCAGAACTCTTATTTGATCTGTTTAGCACATTTATCTCTGGTAAACTTTGTACATGCCTTTTTTCCCCCCTTAAAATCACATTTATTTATTCAGAGCATATATGTGCTTTGTTATTCACTGCAAAGCATCTTTGGTATATGTGCTTGTACCACTTGCTTTTAAGTTGAAAATAAACAACAAAGAGAATGTTTCTTATATAGAACTTGCAGTGGTAAAAGCAAGTACTTGGGTTGGCCAGGCCTGTGAATTTTAACTGTTCATAGTATTTGAGGCGTATCAGAGAATCTCTCCTGTAGGTTTTCCCTCCAGGGTATAGGATTTTATCGTTTTTAAAATGTTTGTTTTTTTATTACAAAAAGTAGTGTGTATTCATTAGAAAATTTTTGGAAAAACTGGAAAAAACAGGTTTTCATTTGTTTTATTTGGCTGCGCTGTGCAGCTCGTGGGATCTTAGTTCCCCTACCAGGGATCGAACCCGGGCCCCGGCAGTGAAAGCACTGAGTCCTTACCAATAGACCACCAGGGAATTCCCTAATTTTTTAAAATTTTTATTGGCGTATAGTTGATTTACAATGTTGCGTTAGTTTCAGGTGTACAGTAAAGTGAATCACTTATACATATATATCCACTCTTTTTTAGATTCTTTTCCCATATAGGCCCTTTAAACAGGTTTTTAAATCATCAGAAGTCCCACAAATGAAAATAACCACAGTTGATAGTTTGCTATATAATTTTCCAGTCCTTTCTTTGCCTATTTATAAGCTTAAGATATCTGCAATTTTCAAATCTTTACCTTCCCTCCAACCTGGTTAACTTTTTCTTCTTCTTTTTATTTTTTAATTTATTTTATTTATTTTTGGCTGCGTTGGGTCTTTGTTGCTGCACGCGGGCTTTCTCTAGTTGTGGCGCACGAGCTTTCTCTAGTTGCAGCGAGCGGGGCTACTTATCGTTGTGGTGCACGTGCTCCTCATTGCGGTGGCTTCTCTTGTTGCGGAGCACGGGCTCCAGGCGAATGGGCTCAGTAATTGTGGCTCGCAGGCCCTAGAGTGCAGGCTCAGTAGTTTTGGCGCACCGGCTTAGTTGCTCCGCGGCATGTGGGATCTTCCCCAACCAGGGCACGAACCCGTGTCCCCTGCATTGGCAGGTGGATTCTTTCTCTCTTTTTCTTTCTTTTTTTTTTTTTTTTTTTTGCAGTACGCAGGCCTCTCACTATTGTGGCCTCTCCCGTTGCGGAGCACAGGCTCAGTGGCCATGGCTCACGGGCCCAGCTGCTCCACGGCATGTGGGATCTTCCTGGACCGGGGCACAAACCCGTGTCCCCTGCATCGACAGGCGGACTCTCAACCACTGCACCACCAGGGAAGCCCTGGCAGATGGATTCTTAACCACTGCACCACCAGGGAAGCTTCTTCTTTTTTTTTTTTTTTTTTTTAATTCTTGAGCATCTGGTTAGTGATTTTTTTTTTAAGACATTAGTTTTTTAGAGCAGTTTTAGGTTCACAGCAAAATCGTAAAGGTACAGAGACTTCTCATACACCCTCTGCCCCCACATATGCATAGCCTCTCTTAATATCAACATCCCGCACCAGAGTGGTACATTTTATTGTAATTACAATGGGTGAACATACACTGACACATCATAATCACCCAAAGTCTATAGTTTACTTTAGGGTTCATTCTTGATGTTGTACATTCTGTGGGTTTGGACAAATGTATAATGACATGTATCCATCATTAGAGTATCATACCAGGGTATTTTCACTGCCCTAAAACTCCTCTTTGCTCTGCCTGTTCATCCCTCCCTCCACCCTCTGCCTTTTTTTTTCTTTTTTGTTAAACTACAATAAGTCAGCTTCTTTCCCTTATTTTGATACATGCCAAGGAGCTTTTCCTGAAATTCGTGGAAAAGGTTTTCTTTTGGTTTTCCTCATTTTGTAATTTAACCTATTCCAGGTCATTTAATTATGAAATTATTGATTATTATAGGCACCACATTATTTATTAATATCTTACAGATTACTCTTTAAATCTTTGCTGAAGAATCTGACCTGTCACTGAATATCCTAACCCTAGTTCCTGTACACACACCTGTAATGCAAGTCTTTATTCTCTAACCCAGATATGAAATGGTATATATTCAAAGATCCTGTTAATCAAGTGATCATGGAGTAAAGTTTTATGAAATATGTGCAGTCTTCTAGTTCATTCTGTAAGTTTCTTTTCTTCTTTTAGTTACAGAAGCAGAGATTAGTTTAGTTTAGATTGCTGGAATAAAGAAATAAGAGAGAAGACCTTGGATTAGAGCTCACACCATCTGCTTTATTTGCACTAGTTTAAATACTGTTAGGGTAGCGCAGGTTTTTATGGATCATTTAAACCTTTTGTACTGTATTGTACATATCTGAAATATAATTATCTTTAAGCTGTTTTCTAAACTGGTTCACATCAATATTTGCATTGCTACTCTGTGTAATATTTTAATACTGCTAGAAAACGTAGAGGTCTTCCGGTCCATCCCCTCCATTTTCTCAGTCAAGACACTGAGACCCAAATTATTTAAGTGATTTACCCACAGTTAACTTCCTTCATGGAATGTAAGTGAAAATTTTTTCCAGTTTTACATGGAGTTGTTATTTGGAATGACCAACCTGTGCCCCCTGCAGTGTAAGCATGGAGTCTTAACCACTGAACTGCCAGGGAAGTCCACAAGCTTTCTTTTAATAGTAGAGCTTATTTTTCTTTAAAATAATCTCACCTTGAGCTCCATATATAAAACATAATTGAGAGGGTCCATTTCTGAAGCCCTGAGCCCTGAAAATCATTTCTCTTAAGTACTTATATCATGAGATTATTGTTTTACAAACTGGTATATTAATCATGATGTTTGGGTCAAAACTAGTGGTGGCAATAGGCAGTCCAAAAAAATGGACACTGAACACAGTGAAGTCTTGGGCTTTGATTCAGTGACAAAACATTTTACAGAAATAAATGTACTTTGTGCTAGACAATTTGAAGCCCCTGGTAGTTATTTTACATTTATTTGAATTATTTATAATATGTGAGTTGGCTTTGTGACATTAAAAACATTCCAGATATGCATAGCAGGAATTATCAACATGACCCTGACCCTTAGGGCTTTATATAGTCTTTTCTTTCACATAGAAGTCAGAGAGAGTAATACAGATATGTATTGAGCCACTCATATGCTTTGATCGATTGAATTTTAGAAAGCAGTCTTGAATGAATGTTCATGTTATGAGTCTGACTTGGTTTTCTTTCATTTGATAGGAAAAAGCGCCTCTATTTCCGAAGAGAAAGGTGAATCTGATGATGAGAAACCAAGGAAAGGAGAAAGACGATCGTCCAGAGTCAGACAGGTAACTCAGTTACCTCTGAAAGCATCCTTCACCTCTTTGGGTAATGCCTTGGATATCTCCTCCTCCTCCTCTTTTTCCTCAAACTATTTCAGAGTTGGTATCTCTCTAGCTTTCTGTATAGTCATCTTCTTTCTCTTCGTAATCATTTTTCTTGTTTTTTGTTTTCTAATTTATATCTTCTCTGGCCTTTGGATTTCTTTTTTTGGCCATGCTGTGAGCATGTGGGATCTTAGTTCCCTGACCAGGGATCGCACCCACATCCCCTGCATTTGGAAGCGTGGTGTCTTAACCCCTGGACTGCCAGGGAAGTCCCTGGCCTTCGAATTTCTAAACGAATATATAAAAAAATAACTGTGGGGCTTCCCTGGTGGTGCAGTGGTTGAGAGTCTGCCTGCCGATGCAGGGGACACGGGTTCGTGCCCCGGTCCGGGAAGATCCCACATGCCGCGGAGCGGCTGGGCCCGTGAGCCATGGCCACTGGGCCTGCACGTCCGGAGCCTGTGCTCCGCAACGGGAGAGGCCACAACAGTGAGAGGCCCGCGTACCTCAAAAAAAACAAAACAAAACAAAACAAATAAAAAAATAACTGTGAAAGTTAGTAGGCTGGTCTGTATTCCTAAGGCAGCACATTATTAGAAAAGATATAATTCATTATTCAATTAAAACCTTAAAGCTGTATGATACAGTGTTAACAGTATACAAAAGTATATGTATAGTGTAATTACAACAGTGGAAAAGAAATAATGGGAAAAAATGAAATATACCCCAAAGATGATCAAAATAATCACATTTATTGATAATAGGTCAGTCCCGCCCCGCCCCCACCCCCTTTCTAGATGTTCCGTTTATATATATATATATATCTATGTATATTTATATTTTTTTTTTTTTTTTTTTTCTTTTGGTATGCGGGCCTCTCACCGCTGTGGCCTCTCCTGTTGCGGAGCACAGGCTCCGGACGCGCAGGCTCAGCGGCCATGGCTCACGGGCCCAGCTGCTCCGCGGCATGTGGGATCTTCCCGGACCGGGGCACGAACCCGTGTCCCCTGCATCAGCAGGCGGACTTTCAACCACTGCGCCATCAGGGAAGCCCTATATTTATTTCTAAAGCTTGAAGCTAACAAATGAAGTACTAGCAGTTTCATTATTGTATTCTTTTTGGTCACTCTATTTTGATTCCTGTAAGAGCCCATACTAGTCACGCGTGTCTCTTGTCGCATTTGTTTTCTGTGTTGCTGAAAGCATATATCATTGAGTTTCTTCGTCATGTGTGTGTCTTGTGAGATGCTTTTTCTCCTCTGTTGATAGTGAGCAAATATACTTGGAACCATTGAATATTTTTTCTTTCAGGCAAGAGCAGCTAAACTCTCTGAGTGCAGCCAGACTGCTGAGGAGGAAGAGGATCAAGAAACACCTTCTAGAAATCTGAGGCTCAGAGCAGATCGAAATTTGAAAACTGAAGAGGAAGAAGAAGAGGATGAGGAAGAGGAAGAAGAGGAGGAAGAGGAGGAAGACGATGATGAGGGACAAAAATCTAGGGATGCACCAGTCCTGAAGCAGTTTAAGGAAGAAGAGGGGGAAGAGAAGCCCAGTGTAAAAGTTGAGGAGGTAATGGATGAGAGATCCCAAACTATAAGATCCCAGGAACAGGAGGGGTTAGAGAGAGGAGGGAGGGTTACAAGGTCCCAGGAAGAGGCCAGAAGAAGTCATCTGGCCAGACATCAGCAGGAGAAAGAGATGAAAACAGCTTCTCCCCTTGAGGAAGAAGAGAGAGAAGTAAAACCTTCAAAAAGCTTGGAGGAAAAATCCAAGTCCCCTTCCCCTCCTCGACTGACTGAAGATCTGGAGAAGGCCCCTGTTGTGCTACAACCAGAGCAAACTGCTAGTGAGGAGGAGACTCCCCCACCTTTACTTACCAAGGAAGCATCTTCTCCACCACCTAATACACAACTCCAGAGTGAAGAAGAAATAGAACCCATGGAAGGCCCAGCCCCTCCTGTCCTTATTCAGTTGTCTCCTCCTAATACAGATGCTGAGGCCAGGGAGCTCTTACTGTCTCAGCGTACTGTGCAGTTGGTGGGAGGTCTGTCTCCTTTGTCAAGCCCTGCAGACACCAAAGTAGAATCTCCAGTAGAGAAAGTGCCAGAGGAGAGCGTCCTGCCTCTAGTTCAGAAAAGCACACAAGCTGAATCCTCAACCCAGAAGGGTCTTGAAACTGAATCAGAAAAATCAGCTCAACCACTCCCTCTAAAAATCAAGGAATTCACACTGGCCAAAGGGATCACGGAGGAATCTTTGGAACAGAAGGAAGGCAGGAGGGCTTCTCATACTCTTGTCCCAAGCCACAGATCGAAACGGTCAGCTGACTCATCCTCTAGCCGATCCTCCTCATCGTCATCCTCCAGTTCTAGATCAAGATCTCGCTCTCCTGACAGCTCAGGCTCTCAGTCTCATTCACCTCCAAGATCCAAGCAGAGAGATGTATCTCAGGCAGGTACTCATTCCAACCCTCGTGGTAGACCCAAGATGGGCTCCAGGTCAACATCAGAATCCAGGTCCCGTTCCCGTTCCCGTTCAGCGTCAAGCAACAGCAGAAAAGTAAGTGTGGGAGAATCCTGGGTGCGTTGATGTTCTGTCTGTACTGCAGTGTTTTTCAACCCCTGGAGAATCTATCATGATTTCCAGCAGAAAAGCTTCCTTTAAGTCCCCAGTTCAGTGATTACTTTCTTCTCATTTCGGAGTCTCACTTTCAACTCATTGATTCCTAAGTTGGGTCCTTTTTCAATTTGATTCCCTTTGATTGCAAAGAAAGCTGAATCCATACCCATTTCCTCTGCTAGACTATAAACTTCTTGAGGGTATGGACATGCCTTTTTACGTGTGTATCCCAGTACCCAGCACCTAGTTGGGAGTTGATAAACAATTTGTTGAGTAATCTAGGAAGTCAGGGAGGTCACTAAATGAAACAGGAATAAACCTAGGGAAAGATTTAAATAAAATCTTTGAATAAAAAGATCTAAAGTATTAAGTTGGAAAGCTCAGTGATCTGCTGAACATATGGCATATAAAATAATTTGCCTAATGTGTTTCATTTCTTTAGTCTCTGAGCCCTGGAGTCTCCAGGGACAGCAGCACCAGCTACACTGAAACCAAAGATCCCTCTTCTGGTCAGGAGGTTGCAACTCCACCATTGCCACAGCTTCAGGTCCTTGAGCCAAAGGAGAGGACTTCCACCTCAACCTCTATCCGAGTGAGGCGTATGAGCCAACCTGAGCCAGCTGAAAAGCATGTGACCCAGAGGTTACAGCCTGAGCGGGTAGGGTATTTTGCCCCTTCCCTAAGAGGGAGACGGAGGATTAGGCATGATTTTCCCTTTTGTCTTAGCTATAAAACTGAAAGTGCAGCCTGGATAAGGTTCAATAGAAATGGAGACGGTTGGGAAACCTGTTAGAGTCTACTTTTTTTTTTTTTTGCGGTACGCGGGCCTCTCACTGTTGTGGCCTCTCCCGTTGCGGAGCACAGACTCCGGACGCGCAGGCTCAGCGGCCATGGCTCATGGGCCCAGCCGCTCCGCGGCATGTGGGATCCTCCCGGTCCGGGAGGATCC